CAATGGGCCATGAGGTCTAAGGCTTTAAAATTCATGGCGTGTTAGCACCTGGTGAAAAATGCAGTCATGTATTATCTGAATTTGGATATAGAGGCAGACCCCCACCTTGATGTGTCCCCATATTTACATATATTTGAATGGCTGCCCCAGTCTTTTGTTATCCCCTGGTTGAGGTCTTTTGGGATTTCCCCTCTCTCTCCCCTTCAGGCTTATTACTGAAGCTCTTCCTTCTTCCTGGGATTAACCTCTCCCTTACAAAAATACCCACTTCTCTCCCGCGCTCTGGTGTGGCTCCCATCCTTTTGACGAGAGAGAGGGGCCCGGATTTCAAGAGAGAGCAAGGAGATGGGGGAATGAGCGCTAAGACAGGTCTGAACCCTACCTACTTCTGTCTCCATTGCAGCGACAAACACCGCTGGGCCCTTTCCCTCTTGTGAGTTTTCACCCTCTGTTTACCATGTTGTCAGCAACAGAAGACTTTGAGAAAAACCCAAAGAACTGTGTTGTGTATTTGCTTCGGGACAAGGAGCGTTGGGAACATTCTGAAAGTAGCTTCTGTTCCGTTTGTGTCTTTGAGGAACCGGGGAAGGGGTCAAGTGAGACTGGTCAGAAAAAAAAAAAGTGGTGGGAACAAAAAAGAAGCAGACAGCCTGGTCTGTGGGACGAGGTGAATGAAAAAGGAATAATAGGGATCCGCCCAGCCCAGTTGAGTGGCATCCCTGGGATCTTCCACTGGCCAGACTCTCCACCCCCACCCCGGGGCCTCCAACAGAGTGATTTCCATGAAAGGGGAGTGGGAAGGAGGGGGCTGTGGAGGGGAGATCTCCGATCCTTTTCCAGCTGCTCTAGGTAGACCTCTCATCATTCAAAGTAGAAATCTCTGGGGCGCCTGGGTGGCTCAGTCGGTGAAGCATCCGACTTCAGCTCAGGTCATGTTCTCACGGTTCATGGGTTCGAGCCCTGCGTCGGGCTCTGTGCTGACAGCTGAGATCCTGGAGCCTGCTTCCATTCTGTGTCTCCCTCTCTATCTCTGCCCC